TCATTTTGTACTTTGCCTGCCCCAGCCTTGGAATCAGACATTTCCCCTAGGGGCCTTGGTCTTTTTGATGGAAAATTGAAAAGCCAAGTTTTGTGTGCTAGGTGTGCTTTCTTGTTGTTGGCGTATTGCTGCTCTCAGATACTCCTAGGGAACAGAGCTCAGGAAAAAATATATATGGTACATATGTATGTACATACATACATATATGGTACATATTTGTGTACGTACACACGAGTACACATATACATATATAAGTACAGTAAATTCTCACTTAATGTTATTGGTATGTTCTTGGAACCTACAACTTTAAGTGAAACAGTGTACAATAAAACCAATTTTTTTCTCATCAGTATTATAACAAAATGGCGTTGAATAAAATGATGTTATTTGAGGATTTGCTGAATGTCATTTCTTAAAGTTACAGTTTTCAAGAACCTGTTGATGACAAAGGAGGACTTAGAGTATAAATATATGCACACATTTATATCTGTTTCTTTACCTAAATATATAGAAAATCTTGATTTTGATTTCATGCTGTCTCTAACTTTGGTTTAATATAAGAGATTCATTCTCAATTTTTTTTTTTTCTGGTTTATTAGCTCCCTCCTTGTCTAACTGGGCACTCCAATTACCTCATGCCTCCTCTAGTACTCTAGAATTATTCTTTTATCCATCCCACAGCACTCCATACCCTGGGATCAACATAACTGTGTTTGTTATCCTATCCCACTCTGCATTCATGACACAAGTTATTGAAATAAGTGCTGAGTAATGCCTGAGAAAATACAGCCATCCCTCAATATATGAAGAGGATTGGTTCTAGGACCCCTTCATATACCAAAATCCATGCCAGTGTTTCATGGGCTGGTGACAATAATGTGTATTCTGCAGCAGTTGGATGAAGTGTTCTGTCAGTGTCTGTTAGGTCCATTTGGTGTAGAGTATGGTTTAACTCCAGTGTTTCTTTGCTGATATTCTGCCTGGATGATCTGTCCATTGCCAAAAGTGGGGCGTTAAAGTCCTTGCTATTATTGTATTACAGTATCTCTCTCTCTTTAATTAATATTAATATTTGCTTTATATATTTGGGTGCTGTGGTGTTGGGTGCATACATATTTACTATTGTTGTATCCTCTTGATGAATTGACTTCTTTATCATTATATAATGACCTTTTTTGTCTTTCTGCAGTGGCACAATCATAGCTCACTATAGCTTGCCTCTCCTAAGCTCAAGAGATCCTCCCACCCTAGCCTCCCAAGTAGTTAGGACTACAGGTGTATGCCACCATGTGCAGCTAATTTCTATTTTTTTTTGTAGAGATGGGGGTCTCACTATGTTGCCCAGGCTAGTCTCAAACTCCTGTCCTCAAGCAATCCTCCCACCTCGGCCTCCTAAAGTGCTGTGATTATAGGCATGAGCCACTGCACCAAGCCTCTTGTTACAGTTTTGACATAAAATCTATTTTACCTTATATACATATGGCTACTCCTGCTCTTTTTTGGTTTTTGTTTGCATGGAATATCATTTTCCATCCTTTTACTTTTAGTCTGTGATTGTCTTTGTAAGTGAAGTGTGTTTCTTCTAGGCAGCATATAGTTGTTGATTCTTGTTTTTTAATCCATTCAGCCATTCAAGTCCATTTGAATTCAGTGTTGTTATTGATAGGTAAGGCCTTACTACTGTCCCAGTGGCTCAGATGAGTGTCCCTTTCCGCACATCTCTGCACAGGTGGGATGGGTCCCCAACTGTAGCAAGAGGGGCTGAAGTTCAGACTGAGCTTCTTTTGAATCTGCTGTGGAAAGGAGGCTGGTGGGCCTGTCTAATTTCTCAGATGGACGTGTGTCTCTCAGCATGTCCCTGCACAAACAGAATAATTTCTTTACTGTAACAGGAGGGGCTGGAGCTGGGGCTGGAGCTGAGGCTGGACCCTCTTGGGATCTGTTGTTAGACAGAGGCTGGAGAGCCTGGTTTCAGCTTATTGGGGTGCCTGTCTCCCAAGAGGATGCTATACAGATGGGATAGTTCCCTACTTCCGCAGGAGAGGCTGGAGCTGAGACAGAGCCTTCTCAGACTCTGCTGTAAGACAGAGGCCGGAGAGCCTGTCTTATTGGTATGCATCTCATAGCAGGTCTCAGCATAGATAGGGTAGTTTCCCAGCTGCAGCAAGAGGTCCCAGAGCTGAGACTGGGCCACTGGGATCTGCTGTAGGAAGGAGGTTGACAAGCCTGTCAGGGAGGCTCAAACTCCTGGGCTGCGAGATATGAATGAGTCTCCCTATGTTAGCCCATTTTGTGTTGCTATAAAGGAAATACCTGCAGCTGGGTAATTTATAAAGAAAAGAGCTTTATTTGGCTCATGGTTATGCAGACTGTACAAGCATGTGCTTCTTCTGGTGGGGCCTTTGGGAAGCTTCCAGTCAAGATGGAAGGTGAAGGGGGAGCAAGCATGTGAAGGAGGTGGTGCCAGGCTACTTTAAACAACCAGCTCTTAAGGGAACTAATAAAATGAGAACTTACTCATTATCGCAGGGAGGGGCACCAAACCATTCACGGGAGGTCTGTCCCCAGGACCCAAACACATCCCACCAGGCCCCACCTCCAACATTGGGGATCTTATTTGAACATGAGATTTGGAGGGGCCAAACATCCAAACCATATCATTCCCTCTGTCTGGGTCCTTTTACAGGCAGCTCTGAGCTGGGATCTCAATTAGAGAATCCTGGAGCAGTGGTACAGGCCAACTTTCACATTCACTTCTGAGACCGATGTAAGCCTTTCAGCTGAGACACTAGTATGCACAATTCTTTCTGGACCCCTTGGCAGATGGTTTTGGTTGCAGGCACAAGACCAAGTGTTTCCAAGCCGCATGGAAGACTGGGCTGTTTCTGGGCTTGGACCCACAAGCAAGCTCAGCAGGGCAGATCAGCAAACTGGGTGTTGGTCTGCACCCTCAAAACAACCCTTGTACGTCTTGCTCCATCAGGGTTTCACAGACTCCTGCTTGAATTCTGATGCTCCTGCAGAGAGAATTTTGACTGTGCATAGGTGCAGACTTCTTGTTACTGGGTGATATGAGTGGGTTACCTTCTATTCAGCCATCTTAGTGATGTCACTTCATTAACTACATGTTTGTGAGAGTTGCCACACTGAATATATTGAGCATCTTTTTCCTTGGTGAATTAAGTCATTATCATGAACATCAAAAATAGTACCATGAAGTCAAATTTGAATTATTCTGCACCTCACTCTCTCTCACTTTCACATCTTGCTACCCACAACAAATTAATTTATCTTTTTAATAGTTTTTGTGGCTATCTTCTCATTTCCCTTGCATTGTTTTGCCTTAATCCTGTTCCTCATCATTTCTCACTATGACTGTTTTAATCATTTTATACCTGGCCTCTCTACTTCTGGCCTCATACGTCCTTCCAAACCATCTTTTATTTTGTGATCAGAATCATCTTTCAGTAAAATCCTTATTATCAGTTAGCTTTCCCTAAACCCTTCCTATTGCTTACAGGGTAAAATCTCAACTCATTTTGATGTACCCCCAGCCTCCCACTTTAAGAGCCTTATGATTGCTGCAGCCTCCCTGTATTCTATGTTTCATGTGTACTAAATTCTTACATCAGTTCTACTCGAGTGTGTTAGTCTTGTGTGTAATTTAAAAGTCAGTGAACTCAGACTAAAGACCTTAAGAGCTCTTCTACAGTTAAAGTGCATATAGTAGTATTTATTTTGGTTCATCAGAGATCTTTTTGATTTCTTCCTGGGTCTTAATGTATTTCGTATTTTTGAGGGTATGGAATAAATACTGAGGACTCACCTGAAATTTTACTTTCTCTAGGAACATTCCTTGACTCGAAGGAGATTCTTCTGTATGTTTCATTGGCATCTGCACATGCTTCTATCATAGTACTTGCTATACTGAATGCTAATTTTCCTTGTAATATGATGTTTTAAGTGAAACTAAATACTGTGTATACCAATTTGTGGGATTAATTGACATTTTGCTAGGGTTTGCCTATGTATCTGAATCAGTCAGATTTTTAAAAATTGAGGTCAGTTGTTTAGGAAATACTCAAGCTAATGTCTAGTAACATCCCCTGAATTGTCCGGACCAATGATCTCATGGAATAGAATACGAATCTTGTTCAAGGGTGGGTGTGGGTGTGTGTGTGGTGTTTGTGTGTCTGCAGAGAGGAGAGAGCAGCACACACATACATATGTCCATTGGATTTAGGGTGTATGGGGAACTGTGTCAACACAGCTAAATGCTGGGAGGAACAATGAATACACTGAGAGAAAAGTCCCCATAGCTGAGTAAGACATCTGGCATTATGGGAGAAACTTTATGTCAGTTTCTGAAGGGAATAGTTGTGGTTCTAAGGACAGTTTTAATTTTTTTTAATATTCCATGGCTTCTTGGAGTGACTGTATCCTGAGATAATAGGTGTATGGTAAAAAAAAAAAAAAAAAAAAAAAAAGTCTGCCACTTTTCTTACAATATCTGATATTTAGGTACTTGAGAAAAAAAAGTTAAAATTCAGAAATGTTAACGTCAAAATATGTGCAACTTTGAATCTGATAAGTAGTCCTAATCAGAACCAGCCCATTGGTTAGGCCTGGGAATGGGAATGGATGTTACCTTTTTGTTGGTCTTCCAAATTAGGCTCATCTATCTTTTGTGCCTAGCACCATGCCTGACATATGGTAAAAATATCAATGGAGGTATACACCGATGTTGAATAGGTGTTAAAATATTACGCTTAGTCACAGCCTTTCTTTTGTATTAATGTGCAGTTTTTGGAACATAGAATGGCTTTAAATTTGGAGGCATAGACAACACTCCGTGAAAATAAGCATGCTAAAGGAACTAATTTAAGTAAAACAGATTTTTGTTTCTTTTCTCTCCTGTGTATATTGTTTTTCCTTAATCAAAAGAAATATACATGGTTATATTTATAAAGACACTGAACAGTTGTTTTCTTTTCATGCAGGGGCCTGAGTTAATGAATAAATATGTTGGCGAATCTGAAAGAGCAGTTAGAGAGGTAAGAAGATTGTGCCTTAAGTGGCACTCTGCCTCGGAGAACCACGCTTCTGTCTTTCTGTGTGGTTCCCATTTTGTTTTGGGTAACAGACTTTGAAATTTCCAGATCCAAATTTTTGTGGTATAGTTTTTCCTTCAGGCAAATATTATTTTATTATTTGGAAATGCAGTTTTGATCATCTGTAATACACTGGTATTATTTTAAACATCATATTATCAGCCTTTATTTTTACCAAATAATGATATTTAAAAAAAATTACCAGCATTTGTTTTTTTTTTTTCTTAATAAAGGTTATGTCTGTATCTACAAAGGAGAACACATGATCCCAAAATGGGATTTAAATTCTTTAAATGAGATAACCTTTTAAATTGAATAGGTTAGCATATGAAAATTTCACTGTACTGCTCTTATTTTTCTTATTTTACTTCTTTGACCTCTTCCTGGTGATTTAGACAATGCATCTTTCTCCCTCTCTTAAGTTTAAAGCTAGGCCTTTAAAGCCAGTGCCTGATTGTGTCACTCCTCATATTGAGGAACCTGCTCAACTGGTAAATTCATGCAGAGTCAAGGCAACTAGAGGCAGCAGTTTGTCCACATGTATTTCCTGAGCAGGTATTGGCCTGCCTCACACAGGGACCCTGTGTGCTCGCAGACACTGAGTAAGGGCAAGAACACACAAACCATGATGGCATGGATGGTCCTTATTTTCGAAGTACCAATGAGGAGTATTAAGGATTGGAATACTTTGTCATGAGAAACAATTTTAAATTACTTTTTTTCCTATGTTTTTCCTTGAAATTGTAGATAATGGTAATCATATAAAACCTTAACTGATAATGACAACATGAAAAAGGAAGTGTTTATTTGTGTTAATGTTTTGGTAACTGTTTTGTATTTTTGTAGCTGTACTACTTGTGACCAAAAAGTGGGGGTCTCAATTATAGGATATATACAGATTTCTTTCTGCCTATGGTGCCTTTTTCTAACTCATTTCCACATGTCTGCCCTGGCTGTCTGCCAGTCTCTGAGGTTGGTAGTTTGGTTGGCTTCTGCTACAGACAGCGCATTCTCTTTTAAGATTTGACCATTTTTCTTGTCCTGGTTTTACATCAGCCATTGCTTTCCTGTATAGTCTTCAAAGAAATGAATAAGGCATGTGGCTTTTGAGTATATGGGTATTTTATTAATATACGCTAGTCTGTGGCTGATTTTACGCATTTATGTTTTTTCTTTTAAACATGTTTACAATAGTTAATAATGCCTATCATTTATTGAGCTCTTACTATGTTCTAGGCATTGTGTCAAATGCTTTGTGTTCTTTTTTTATTCAATTCTTAAAATATTCTTCTGAAGTAGGCAATTTTCTATATTATAGATGTGGAAATTGAGGTTTAGAGAAGTAAAATTACTTGTTGAAAGACACACTGATACCCAGTAGTGGAGGTGGGATTTTAACTGAGATTGTCTGATTGCTTAACTGAATTGCCTTCTTCACACCCATATGAATATGTATCGGTAGTCTTATCTCTGTAAGCATTGCTGAAGGAGATACTTTTACATCCATTACAAAATCCTGGGTTTTACACAAGTAATTGGACTGGTTGACTTGTACCTAATAGATTTGGTTCTAAATACAGTTTTCAAACGAAAACCAACTACAGAATTTTCTGGAGTTTGTTGATCTTTAACTAATGTGACACTCTTTCCACTAGATCTTCCGAAAAGCGAGAGCAGTGGCTCCTTCCATTATTTTCTTTGATGAACTTGATGCCTTAGCAGTTGAAAGGGGCAGGTAAGAAATATTTAATAGCACTGCTAGTACCCAGTAATATGCTATTACATAGTAATAGCGATTGCAATATAGAGTAAGTAGCATTTCTTATACAAATTTTATCTATTAATTCATTTGGCCTAAAAGAAAACATTTTTCAATTCATTTAATTTTTTTCTCTTATAACCCATTAAATTATTTCATGTAATCGCTCTATAAAACTTTCATATATAATTGAAAAAAACCACACTGATACCTGTTTGGGGCATTTGAGTTCATTTTTATAGTTTATTATCAACAGAGACTCCTTAGTACTCTCTATGAAAATTAGAGTTGTTATATAACTAAAACTATGAATAAAGATGGATTAAGCATAGTTATTTCCTATAGTAGAATATAATAAAAGATATTAATTCAGATTTTAGAATTCTCTGGAATAAACTGTTTCCTAAAATAGAATATAAATCAATATTGTCATTTCAAACAAGTATGTGTGTGTATGTATATGTCTCAGAACTGTTTACAAATATATTATTTTGTTTTCCATACTAATGCATAGAAATCTTTTAAGTAATACATATTTCATATACTTCATGTTCAATAACGTAATTTCATGTACTTTGTGCATAGCTTCTCAATGTATATATTGATTTTCAGATTTTTGCTGATGGTAATTATAGTGAAGGGAGAAAGCAAATTTTAAGTCTCAGTATTAAATGTGATAAGAAGCATTGCTGTTATCTTTCTTCCTACGTAGCGCTGCCTCATCAGAGTATAAATCATCACTAGGAAACTATCATTAGGAGATAGACTGCCCTACTCTCTACTCCCCATTTGTTTGATATTCCATAAATATTTATTGGTCTTTTTGTTTTATGAGTTGAAGTACTTCAGCACTCTTACTACTTCTGAATTGAGATGGCATAAAGGGTTACAAACAGCTCAAGTTTGTCTAACTATAAGCGAAGACAAAGAAGTCAGAGAAGTTGGCTGAAGTAGTGTGACCTGCCACGTTTACGTGACATCAGAGACATCTGGTTTTGGAGCCTAAAAAGGAACAGGGTGGGATATACTGTTAAATATGAACCAGATGGGAAGTAGAATATGTAGCAGAGTTCTCATAAAATGCTCCTGAAATAAAATGATGTGAGAAACCAGACAAGGTGCTTTATAAAAATATCCTGGTTTTGTAGGCAATTTGGCTTAGTAGGAATTTGCAGACATATTAGAGATGCTAAAGACTTACAGCTACTGGATATCATTTTCTCTAGTAGTCTTCATCATACTGAACTTTTCAGGGAACATCTGTATGCAGTGTATACCTCCCTCTCTTAGTGGCTTGCTCAAATGAAGAACATCATGTGTCCGTTTAACGATGCAGTTATATTCTGAGAATTGCAGTTGTTAGGCAGTATCCTCATTGTGTGAACATCATAGAGTGTACTTACACAAACCTAGATGAACATCATAGAGTGTATTTACACAAAACTAGATGGTATAGGCTACTACACTATATACCATATAGCCTATTGCTATACCATCCAGCAATACATATGGTATAACCTCCTGCTTCTAGGCTACTGACCTATACAGCATCTTACTGTACTGAATACTGTTGTAGGTAATTATAACACAATGATAAGTATTTGTGTATCAAAACATATCTAAATATAGAAAAGGTATAGTAAAAATACAGTGTTATAATCTTATGGGGACTACCTTGTTCATGTGGTCCGTCGTTGACCAAAATGCCGTTATGTGGCACATGACTGTACAAATAAATGCTGTGCAGTTTCCTTTGTATAGAAAAATTTCTGGTCACAGTTTGTGAATTTAGTTGACATTTCAGAAAACTAAACACTCATGAACACATACAATGCTGGTGCGTCCAAAGTAGAGAGTTTGGGTTGTACTTTATTTGTGCCAAATCTTATATAGTTTATTTTTAATAACTGTAAGAATCTCATAGAGTGACATTCTATTTTCAGTTCTTGTTTTTTTGTTTTTCCTAATTGTATGATGGGCCAGTATTGCCTAGAAGTGATTGTTTTATCTAATTAGATTGCTGTTACTTGAAAACTAAAACAAATAAAAGCTCCACATGTATTTTTGTTCTTTGGCAATTTGAATTTAATACAGTTAATAAAAATTGAAAAAATAACTACATTAGATATACCAGAAATATAAAACTCCCAAATATTAAACTAATTTCATGCATTGTTAAAGCATTCATGGAATAGGAAGACTGAAAAATTCCATAAACTAGGAGGCATTTCTGTATAAAATTAGACCATAGAATATTTACTGATTTCATTTTTCAAAGCTATTATTTGTTTTCTGTGATAATATTCAGATCAAATCCATATGACTTATCCCAAAATGACAATGCATAAAGATGTATATTTCTGATCAAGATTTTAATTTCCAAGTTCAAAATGTTTAACAAATTGAACAAAGAATTATGATATATTCTAGTCTTGACTGTCTTGTGCATATTAAATCAAACTATTTTGACTATTTGAAGTTACTTAGAAGACGTGGTAATTAGTTATGAAACTGAGGATTGCAGTAAGCACATTGTAAATAGAGCATAGATATACTATTTGCTTAGCCTTAGAAATCTTTGTGCTTTGAAAATGAGGTATATTTCGTGCTTATGAAAATGTCTTATTATAACCAGTATTTTCTCCTTTTCCCTGCCTCATTTAATAGTATCTTTGGGACTTGAAAAATATATAAGCCTGATATTTACTTCTCTTCTTCTGTATGTCCATTTAAATTATGGGTCCTTTGACTAAGGTTTTTTTTTGTCTTATTTTACCATGTGAGTTAGGAAATGTATGATTCTCTTTGCAAAGTGTTTTACTACATTTGGGAAAATTGAAAATGCTGTTAAGGGTAGCGTATCTCTTTGGAAAATAGGTAACATGATAGGGAGTGAGGCATCGAGGTAGGGAGGTGAGTTGAATTATACTGGGCTAATAATAATATTAGGTAACATTCTTTTAGTGTTTATTATATACTAGAAACTGTTTTAAGTGTTTCACAGGTAAAGAAAAAAGTCACAGAAAGGTCCCTGTATTAATGCAAAGTAGGATATTATACAGCTGGCAATTGGCTCCAGTACTCCAGTCTTACCTCCTGGCTAGCTTAAATTTTTACCTTTTTCATGGTTGTGGTGGGGATGGGAAAGCAAACTAGGCAGTAAATCATCATTCAACCTTGTCTTAGGCAGCAGTCCTGTCACCAAAAGTGCAGAGGTGTAGGGTCGGCCCAGTCTCCTCTGAGGAAATGAGTACTAACTAAGCTGGAAATTCTTAGAACTACTTTCTCTGTCTGGGACATTGCAGCCAGTCACAGGATCCTGAATCATCTTCATCAGCTGACAGTGATTGCCTGGTAGTACCAAACTTCAGTCTGGTCTAGAACAGATTTGAAACTAGGAACATACCTCTGGAACATAGGGTCACTAACCTAAGAAAGGCTCATCTTATTTATTTAATTAACTTCCAAATAATGTGACCCTGTTTTTTTGGACTCCACTCACCATATTATGACCTTTTGCTGTATTAACTCCTAATCTTCACAACACCAGAAGGTATAGATCTTGTTCCCATCTCCATTTTACAGGTGAGAAAACTTGAGTATATAGATGCATAAATACCTTCCTAAAGCTCATGCATCACTGATGGCAGAGCTGGGATTTGAATGTAGGTATATTGACTCCATAGCAGATATTCTGAGCCACTTTTGGACTCAACTGCTATACCACATAGCCCAGCATTCCAGGTCTAAGCAGTTAACCTTTTAAGCCTGTGTTTATCATACATTTCCTCTGTGACTTACATTAGTAATGATTTTGTCTAACTGGGTTGTTTTAAGATGCCTTTGAAAGTGTTCGTTCATTCACTTAGTAAATATTTATTGAATGCTCATTCTAAGCAGGCTTTGTGTTAGGGATAAAACAGTGAACAGGACCTAGGGCAAGTTCCTTAACCTCACTAAGCCTTAATTTCTTCATCTATAAAATGGAGGTAATAACAGTAACAAATTTTAAGTTGTTGAAATTAAATACATGTAAAGTGCTTCACATAATACCTGACATTTAATAACTGCTTAGGAAGCATCAGTATTTATTCTTCTAGTAATTTTATAAGATATTCCTATAATTGCCATACAGATTGAAAGTAATTGAGGTTGAATTCTACCCCAACAGAACTTACATACTAGAAGAGGAAACTGATTAAATAAAACATCTTGGAATTAGAAAAAGTATTTTACAGCTGACAGATACTGTGGCATTTTGTCTGTCTAAGATGCCATCAGTTGTAAGACGCATCGTTTTGTGTACTCACACTGAAGAACAATGCTGAGAAAATGGTGGTGAGGAATCACTAACTCCAGGAGACATCTTGATTTCCCAAACTTAAAATATGAAAAAAAATTTTTAATCTTAGACATAGAAGATAGTTTTGTTATTTGGGAGAAAGGGAAGATCATGTATTCTGTTTTATAACTCTAATGCTTTATATAAAAAATGCCCTGGAATATTATTTTATGCCTAGAATATAATGATTAAATGTATGAAAAAAATGAAAAAAGTTTAGTGCTCAGTTAAAAGTTGACTGGCATCTCTATGAAGTCCTAGAGAATCTATGATATTAATAACTGCTTTCTCGTAAAGCTGTTTCTGCACTTAATAGTCCAGAATTGGTTTCCACTAAAAAGCAAGAAGTTCTAAGCCAGCTTTCATTGAAAATGAAGATTCCAGGCTTAGCTGCTTTCTGAAAAGAGGTCTGAGTTTTAAAATAACAGTCAGGAAATGGGGTAGCCTCTATTGCAGCATATCCAGGTTTCGGATAAGTTCAATGGATTCATAACACTAAGAACCTTAGAGGAAATTTTTGTAGGTATCATTTCTCTAAATGACACTTTTCAAGAAAGGTTGTAAATTTTTTTAATGTGATTTTTATGGTGGTTTTTAAAATTTCATAAAATCATAAAATTTTATAGATGGAATA